TCAAATGGGCTGGTCACCACAAGCTGCAGCCTTTCTGACCATCCTCTTTCCTTATGGACCTTCTGAAGTCCCAAGGGCCTTGCCAATTCTGAACCTCCTGGGTTGCAAAACACAGGGAACAGCATCTGATTTCGAAGGAGATGGCTTGGGTCTGTGAAGACAGAAGGTCTCTGTCAGGTCTATCTATATCTAGTGCAGATAAAAATTTTAAAGTTAAAATTTTAACTTCAAAAACATATATATATTTTAGGGCTTATGAGATGGCTCAGTAGGTAAAGGTGCTTTGTGCCCAAACCTGATAAACCTGAGTTTGATCCCCAGAACCTACATAAAAATGGAAGAAGAAAACTGACACTTATTGTCCCTGGCCTCCACAAGTGCCCCAAGGCACACACACACCTCCCCACCCCCCCAACTGCGCACCCAGTAAGTAATGTGAAGTTTGACATTAGGAGCTGGAGTGATCACTCAGCATTTAGGAGCACTGGCTGCTCTTGTAGAGGACCCAGGGGGTCAATTCCCAGCACCCCCATGGTGGCTAACAACCATTCATAACCCCAGTTCCAGGGGATCTAACAATCTCTTCAGGCACTGCATATATGTGGTACACTTAACATACATGCAGGCAGACACACAGCACATAAAATAAGAAAGTAAATAAAATATTTTTTAATTAAAAACAATTTTTTAGATCAACAACTGCAAGTATTTCCACATGAAACCCAGCCTGTGTGTATGAAGGAAGACTCGGGCACAGTGTGGAATGAGCAGCACTGCCTTTGAGTCAGACAGATTGGTTGGTGGCCCATTCCAGGTCTGTCACCCCCTGGCCTTGTGACCTTGTGCAGGCCTCACTTTCCACAGTTACTAAGTGAGGTGGTGGATGATGTTCAAGTCACACAATTGCTGTGTATGTCTAGCAGTGTGTGTGTTACCTGATACATAGATGAGGTGACTGGTGCTTGGGGCTGGAGTAGCTATAGTGTGTGGCAGAATGTAGGTACAGAGATGCGCCTGATGCTGCTTATATGGACTGTGTTCCACAGGTTCTCACCATTTTCCTGTGAATAAGGTGCTAGAGATGTCAAGCCTGGTTCTTAGGCTGCCTGAGTCTCTCATAGACCTGAACTCATGGGTCTCTGACCCGTTGACTTCCCTTTTTGTCTCAGTTTTCTCCCTTGTCGAATAGGCACATGGCAGTGTTGCTACCTGCCAGAGGGGCTGGCAGTGTAGACAGCTAATGCATACAGGGCTCGGGGATCCTGTCACCTTAGAGAATCAGTGAAGGCTTTGTTTGTGGTGGTGTTTTTTGTTTGTTTTTTAATGTACTTAGTTCTCTTAAACAACCTAGGCAAACAATTCAAGTCCTTAGAGATAAAGTAGCTCAAGATGGCTGGGATCTAGTGTTGGCACAAGTATGGATTGCTAGTACTTTGTTAGCAGAAAATATCTTTGAATGACTGAAGTTAAACGAAGAAAGTGCCAATGGGAGGACTTACAGTACGTTTTATTACGGAAGTCTCAGGTGCATGCTGAAATAGAGAGGATGCCGCCCCAAGCTCTGTACACGCATGTCCCCTGTTGGCATGACTCATAGCTCATCTTTCATCCTTTGAAGTGAATCCTGGGTAGTATTTCATTTGTTCACCATTTATTTCTAAAATCAAAGATCACATGCTATCAAGGACACACAGTGTTCTCATACCTGAACAGCAATTCTGTGTGATTCCTTAATAGCATGAATCGAGTGGGAGGCTCGCTTACCAGTGAGGTCACTGCAGGTCGGCGCAGGGATCACAGTGGCTTCAACAGTAGCTCAGCTGCATGCACCACTGTGCACACTCACCACAGCGCTCCGGGAGCCTGTGCTCCCTGAGCGTAGTTAGGACTTTAGTTTTCAGTTTATGAAGAAAAACATTCATTTCTACAGGTGGTCATCAGACTTAAACAAAACAGCTCACTAGTGGTGACTGGCACAAGGAGTTACAAAGTAAGCATCACGTTCCCTTTTTTCCTTGTTTCTTTTGGCTTTAGTTGGGTTTTTATTTTAGACTGCAGTTGGTGTTAGAAACACAGATTTCTCTATTCTTTGTCCTGCACTCATCCTGTCTGGTGGGAGACAGTAACCAAACTGCAGCTCACTGGTGAGAATACCTGTCCATGGTGAATCACCACTCAGGAGGAAGATGGTCACTTTGGGAACAGATGATCTTGTGAAATGCATCAGACTACCCTCTCCATACCTGAGTGCTCTCTGCCAGCTCTGCTGCAGAGCTGCTCATCTGCACACATAGCTGGCTTGTCCTCATCATGTCCCGTCTATGTGACACCTTCCATATGCTTTTGAATCCAGCCACTAGGGCAGTGTTATCCCATTTTGAAGCCTTTTCTGTGGGAGTTCCTTCTGCCCCTTTTCCTCCTCCTTTTCCCTTCCCGACATGTAGGCACTGCCAGAGATACAAAAGTGAGGAGCACAGAGATCCTGACTTGAAGGAACTTGGCTGAAGTCTGGTGGGGATCACAGATGAATACTTCTCCCTGGACATTGCATCACACACAGGAAGGTGCTGGGAAGGCCTCATGCATCCGAGTGAAGCTGGGAGGAAGGACTTTCTAGACAGAATGGGGTTAGCTTTCCAGGCCGAGGCAGAACTGCTGCAAAGGCACACAATGAAGATGGAGCATTGCTGGCCTCAGCCTGTAGACCGCCCCACAGCACAGCTGCAGCCCTCAGCGTGATCCCTGTTCTTAACCCTTACATCCTGTCACCCACCTAGTCCCGCAGAGATAGCACCAGTGTCCCTTCCTAAGTCACAGGATCCACCTCCCCACCCTCTTCCTCACACCATTTAGTGACACCAAGACTAAGAGGTTTACACTGCTTACACCAGGGAGTGTGCTTTCATGTTGCACTGATTTCTTTATCAAACTTGATATCAAAATGGCTTTTTTTCATTAAATAAATATTCCTACTTTACCATATGACTGTTAAGATAGCACTATATGTGGAAATATTGCAAATCCAAAGCATAAGCTGGGGGTGTGGTAAGGCAGAAGCAGGAGTATCACCACAATTTTTAAAATGACATCAGTAGAACTCAGTACTTACCAGCACATGATATAAAATATTTGAATGCCAAGAAAGAAAGGAAGTAAAGAAGCAGGTAGATTTGTGTGCGTGTGCACTTCTGTGCAGGTACACACGTGTGTGCACATGGGTGTGGAGGCCAGAGGTCGATATCAGGTATCTTTCTCAATCCTCCATTATTTTTTGAGGCAGGGCAGGGTCTCTCACTGAACTGCAGCTTACTGACTATACTAGACTAGCTGTCCAGTAAGTCCCAGGCATCCCATCTCCCCAGTCCTAGGATTACAGGCTCCAATTGCTACATCTGGCTTCTTGATGTAGGTACTAGAGATCTGAACTCAGGTAGGTCCTTATACTGTGTGCAAGGATTCCCAACTGAGCCATCTCCTCAGCCCCAAGATTTCTTTAGGCTTTTGAAATTTCTATTAGATTCTTAAAAAAGAAAAATACACACAATATGTCCTAACAAATCAGTAACAAAACATATCAATGGGTCTTGGATTAATATAGATGGATACAGGCTAATGCTACATGACAGTTATCCATTGTAGCCCGAAAATGATTTATTCCTCCCAGACTTCTAAAGAGCCATGGGCTAGTGCAGGGCACCCTGGGAAGAAGGGTGGAGGCTAGTGTGGGGAGAGATTGGAATGAAAGGATTGGCACCATCTGGGAAGCAGGGAACAGGGAGCAGGTGAGCCAGCATGCCCTGGATCCTGTGGGGTGCCGGGGGACCTTGCGAGGACCCCATGGACTCCTCATGGAACTCTGTGGGGTGAGTGGGCATATGGGGACGCGAGATGAGGCAGACCATGGGCAAAAGCGATACGGAATGGTGGGCTGAGCCGTGCTGGGTACTGGGTGTTGGGTGTTTGTTTCTTTGTAAGTCCCCTGCCCCCGCAAAGTTATAAACTCTGCAAAATTCAGATAAAGATGTGTTATGTGGTTTGTCAGCCCATGCCAGGAACAAGGGACCCTAAGAGAACCTGGGCAACATCCATGCAGAGAAAGAGAAAACAGTTTAGCTGCATGACCACTACTGTCATTGGAGAGCTTCTTGGCTAAGCTCTGGTCCCTTTGCTGATAGGCTTGGACCTAGTTTGAGAATAAACTGACATTGTATATATACAGCACACAGTTCTGATACATGCCTTACACATTCAAACTTTAGAGAAGTTGAATTGTATGCTTTGGATGTTTTTGGTTTGTTGAGATAGGGTCTTACTATGTAGCCCTGGAACTCAATAGTCCCAGCTCACTCACAGGAACAGTGATCAGTGCATGCCGCAGGACCCCCTGGGAAGAGACAGAGAACATGTCTAAAGAGGTTGTTGGTGCCCAGTGTTAGACTCAGTCAGTGTTTATATGCTAAATAGTGAGTGTCATAGTCATGCCTCATCCTTTCCTCTGTGGTTTTATGTGTCTTGGGGTACCTTTCCGAACATTTATATTGCTAGTTTGAACCAACTTCAGCCACTCATCTGTAGACATCAGGGTGGTTCTCCTGTGAGAAGTGCTGTTCTGTGTGTAGACCCACTCCCTCCACAGCTGTTGATGATCACCTGTGCTTCTTGTGCTTAGACCTGTGAGGGAACGGGCTGCCGTGGATAGACCAGTGAGGGTTACCTCCGTAATGACTGAGAGTCTAAAACCAAAGCTGTAAACTGGGTGTGGTGGCACATGCCTGTTGTCCTGGTACTCTGGATGTGGAGGTAGGAGGATCACAAGACTGGGGAACATTGCAAGGCCTTGTTACAGCCCCTTCCCCCAAAATTAAAAGGAAAATCTCTGAGTTTGTAGCTTCAGAATCTTGCTGCAGCCTCCATTCTAGTCTCTGTTAAACTGGAAACCTGTTTCCTTCACCCATGACACATCTGTCTTCATAAAATGCTTGATTTCTTTTTAATTTCAGATTTCTCACATTGGGAAGCTGAGAGATTTTCTTCTGGAACATAGGAAGGATTATATTAATGCTTATAGGTAAGTGGGGTTTTATTCCGTGGTCTGTGGTTGTCCTGTGCCTGTCACCTTTATGTCCTCACTGGTTCTTTGTGTTTTTTATTTGGGGGGAATTTTTTGTTTTCATTTTTTATTGAATTTTTTTGCATTTTACACAACACATTTCAATCATATTTAGACTCCCTCCCCTAGCCACTGTACCTCCCACCAGATTTCATGCATTCTGTCATATATATTAAGCCAGTCAAGTAAAATTTGTGTCCCCAGATGTGCTTCAGTGTGAGTCCATCCATGTTCTCACTCTATCCTCAACAATTCAGACTTACAGTGGGGAGAGTCAGTCTGCCGGTGGAAGAGGCCTGCAGAGTAAACATCTCTCAGAGCCAGGGCAGGTCTGCAGTCCTGCGTCATCACCATCATCACAGCCCAGCAGAGGCAGGTTTCTCTGCGGGTGCCATCATCGGCTAACAGGGACCCTCACTCCCTGAACCTGGGTAGAGCCGCACAAAGCTGGGGATGCACCTGTTTCCGCTGAACCTGTGGAGGAACAAGGACCTAGGCCCCGCTAGGCTCTTTTTGCCCCATTGGTGGTGCTGCCTGTGACTCTGGCTTTTCTCTGGGTGGTACTTGTGAGCATATTCTGCACTTCACCTTGGGTCACCAGGTCATTCTTGCCTGCCAGCTCATCCTGGTGGCCATCTCCTTTTGTTCATTCCTCAACATTGACCCCAGCTAGAAGCAAACAAGTCTCTGGCTTGGTCTTTGTTTCTTTTCTCATTTTTTGGGTCTCCCTGTAGCCCCAGCTGACCTGGAACTGCTATGTAGACCAGGCTGGCGTTGAACTCACAGAGATCCCTCTGCCTCTGCCTCCCAAGTGCTGGGATTAAAGGTATGTACCACCACGCCTGGCTCTTGGCCTTTGTTTCTTATGGCACATCTTTTATTGATCCCCCATACAAATCATGGTCACTTCCTCCTGGTGGTGAAGACCTGTTTCTTCTCAGTAGCCAGAGTCTTCTTCAAACATCCGTTGGCTTGTGTCACTGTCTAAGCAGATCAACCATGAATATCCACTGCATCAGTATCAACCCAGCCTCCACACTGGCTGTACCTCTCCAAATCTGGTCCTTCCCTCTTCTCTGGCCTCATTTCCAACCAAGCCTCCAAGACCCTCCTGCCATGGTGCTCTAGCCATGCCAGCCTTCTGGAAGGTTCTGGAATCTCCCTGTGAGGGCATGTGCAGATGAAGAGCTCCTGTTCTCAGTACATGCCCTTCAGCTCCAGCCCCAGTGTTAGTCCTTTTCCTAAGAGGCCTTTTCTGATCCCCCTTTATGAGAGATTTCTCCTGTTGGAGTTTGTTTTTCTACCTTGTGTATTTTTTTCATAACATGGTTCACAATTTGTAACTTAAGAAATTTATAGATGTTTTTGAATTTTTTTTAAATTATTTATTTAATAACCACATAAGTACAAGAAGCATTTTGTTACAACAGCATTGACATATTCAATAACAATTTCCAGAACTAAGATGCATCTCTTTCAAAATTGGCTGTAAATTTTTAGGTTTACAGTTGAATTAATACAGTTATACAATATTGTATTCAGTATAAACCCTATAAGACATAAAATTAAATGAGGTTTTTAACCTTTAAAAAAGATCTCCATTTCATTATTAAAATATACAGTTTCATACAGAAAAATTCATTTTTAATGCAATTGACACTAAGATGTTTGCACATGCGTTTCTAATCTCTATGTATCTGATTATTACTAGTCACAGTTGGTTACTTTCTGAGCTCCTTGGCATCTGAGCATGGATATAAAGTCATCAGGTAGATTTCAATGGTAATGTTTTCCACATCTAATTATTAAGAAGCAAATTTTTATGCTTTAAAGAATTATTATTATTTTTTTAATTTAATAACCACATGTATTAGGGTTCTCCAAAGAAACAAAACTGCTAGAATGAATATATATGTATAGAGATTTGTCAGCTTAGCTCACAGGATAGAGTCTGAGTAGTCTAACACTGGCTGCAGCACACTGTAGAGGCTGAGAATCCGTAGTCGCTCAGTCCACCAGGCTGGATGTCTCAGTAGTCCCAATCTGGCACTGAAGGTCTGATGAATTCCAAAAGATCAGCTAGTCTTCAGTCTACAGCAGCAAGATGAACTCACCAACGAGAGAGAAGACAAGCAGCAAGAAGCTAGGGGTTCTCCTCTGCCGTGGCCTTTTATACGGGCTGCCATCAGAAGGTAGCACCCACATTTAGGGTGTGTCTTCCAGCTTCAGATGATCCAATCAAGAAGATCTCTCTCATTTCAGTTAATCCCAGATCCAGTCAGGTTAACACCCAGGATTAGCCATCACACCACATGATTAGAAGAAGCATTTCATTACAACTTTAACATATTCAGTAACATACTCCAGAGCAAGGATACATCTCTTTCAAAAATGGCTATAAAATTTTTAGGTTCGTCCCACAGGCCTCTCTCCAGGGTAAGTCCATTACGCCCTCTGCGCCATGGCTCCCCCAGCCTCATTCACCCTCCTATCTCCACTGCCATTTTCTCCTCCGAGTTTGGGCCCTGCCCTATTCCTTATCTTGGGACCCTAGACACCTGGGGAACCAATACTGCTCCCTGATCATTTTTATCCAAACAAACATAGTGCCTTCTCTGGGCCCCAGGAGCTCTGCTTCTGGGCCTGGCCCCGCCCTCAACTCCCTCTGCTTCCCTGGGCCTACACCACCTGCCAGCCTCTTTCTGGGATACTGGGGCTGACCTTTCCTCTTCCTGATCCTTTGCTCCTCAGTGCAGTCCCCAGGAGGCCTTGAGGTATCTTTCTGCCCCATCTGCCTTTGGATCTCTCGGTAGCATGGCCACCAGCTGCCCTAGATCAGCATCTTTCCTGGGCCAGGCTCCCAGGCCAGTCCAACCCCCAAATTCCTGAGACCTAAATTGTGCCTGGAGGGTTCCAGACCTTAGGAGAAAACCTGAAAACATCTGACCCTCACCTGAATTGGGGCTCTGTGGGAACTCCTGAAGACAAAAGCAATCCGGCCACTCCAATATAAAATCAAAAGAGAGAACCAGAAGCTTAGATGAACCAGCATTTCATGCCCAAAAAGTAAACCACAAAGATACATAAAGTTCACAAAAAGAAGCAGACCTAAACTTGAAGGCCTGAGTCTCACACAAGAATCAGAAACTACAAAAGAAATTCACATGTCAAAATCACAGAGAAAAAAATAATAACATGAAAAACAAAAATAACATATCCCCACCAAATACTAATAGTCCTCTAGAGGAGTACAATGAGAACCCCATAGAGATAATGCAAGGCATGGAACTCAAAAGAACAATTATAAACATGATAAAAGAATTCAGTGAATTTAAAGAACACACAAAGAAATCAAAGAACTGAAAAAAACTGAAGGAAGAAAGGGATAAACTTCTGAATGAATTCAGAAAGGAGTTAGAAATTTTGAAGAATACTCAGACTGAAATGAAGAAGGAAGTGAAACACTCAGTAAGCCAATTAGAAACGACAGGAGAAAGCCTCACCAATAGGATAAATGAAATAGAAAACAGAATATCAAGACTGGAAGATAAAGAGGACGAACTAGACCACACAAGAAAAGATTATGAAAAATTTAAGAAATCACAAGAATGGAAGATGCAGTAATTGTGTTACACAATAAAAAGACCAAACTTAGGAATCATAGGCATACAGGAAGGAGAAGAATCCCAAGATAATGGCATGGACCAGACTGTCAACAGAATTGTAGAAGAAAATTTCCCAAAATTAAAGAAAGACATGCCCATACAAATACAAGAAGCATATAGAACACCAAAGAGACAGGACCAGTAAAGAAACTCTCCATGGCACATCATAGTAAAAACACAACACGTGCAAAACAAAGAGACAATTCTGAAAGCTGCAAAAGACAAGTCACATATAAAGGAAAACCCATTAGGATTACAGCTGACTTTTCAGTGCAAACTATGAAAAACAGAAGAGCCTGGACCAAAATATTCCCAGTTTTAAATGACCACAGAAGC